CACACACACACACACACACACACACACCAGTTCATAAAAACCTAAACTATGCTTGTTGAGTTATCATTGAATGACCTGTGCAGAAAACGTGAAAATAGGGATTGAACCAAGTCATAAAATCTGGATTCTGCCGGGGTGCTGGAACAATTTGTATAGTGGGGGTGCTGAGAGCCATTGAACCAAACTGTAAACCCTGTATATAATGGAAGCCACTTCAAACCGGGGGGTGCGATGGCACTCCCAGCACTGCTCGTTCCATCATCTATGGATTTTGCCCCAGTCTAGGGCACTGGGGTTTGGATTCAGTGATTTCAGGCCCATTGCTAGTTTTGAAGACACGTTTGGAGGTCATTTGGCTCACCAGGAGAGAATGACAGCTCCAGGAATAAAGGGTGGCGTGGAAGAAAGCCCTAAGATGGATAATGGAGACTTTGGAAGTACCTATTCAAGTTTGCCTAATGCCTGCCAGAGACATTAAAAAGATGCCTGATGTTCTCTTGCTCAAGGAAGTGAGCAATGCCCTTGACAAGTGAAGCCCCATGGACATGAACTCACTAGGGTAATTAGGAAAGAACTAACAACGCACATGAACATGGTAACCCGGTGAATTGCTTTGTCCCTCCATGCCAAGGCCATTTCCATATACTGATAATGAAGCGTCAAGTTTTACCTGAGTTCTAGGGGACAGCCCATAATCTGAAATGTCCCAAACCTGGATGAATCCACATGTGTCTCCAGATACAAGAACACTGTTCATTTGATTGGCTGACAATCCAGTCACAGACGCATCCTCTTTAGCTGGGGCATAATAAAAACCTGAAACAACAAGAGAGGATGGAGGGTAACATTTTCAAAAGTGCTGAAATGACTTAGGAGCCGACATCCCATTTTTAAAAGCGACATTGGCACTTAGGAACCTAAGCTCCATTGATTTCAATGAGACTCAAATGTCTACTTAGCCCTGGTCTACACTGGAGGAGGGGGGAATCGACCTAAGTTACGCAACTTCAGCTACGAGAATAGCATAGCTGAAGTCGATGTATTTAGGTCTACTTACCGTGGTGTCTTCACGGCGCTGAGTCGACTGCTGACACTCCTCTGTCGACTCCACTTGTGCCTCTTGCGACGGTGGAGTACCGGAGTTGACGGGAGAGCGCTCGGGGATTGATTTATCACATCTAGACTAGACGCGATAAATCGACCCCTGATAGAGTGATCGTTACCCGCTGATCCACCAGGTAGTGTAGACCTGCCCTTAGATTGTAAACCCCCTGGGTCAGGGAGCATCTTTTTGTTCTGTGTTTGCACAGCACCTGGCACAGTGAGGTCCTGGACCATGACTCGGGCTCCTGGGCACTAAGGTAATACAAATAAATAATAAGTGCCTAAGCCCCATATCCCCAGAGGTATTTCGGCACCTAACTCCCATTGATTTCCTAAGTCCTCTGTCACTCATGAAAATAGGACATAGGCATTTTTGAAAATCTTACCCTAAACCTTCCAGGAACTCTGTCAGGTTCAAAGAGCATATGCTACCGTATTTTTTTTTAAAGTTCCTCCTCTGTGTTATTAGTATCACTTAAAATGATCAAAACAGCAAGAGTTATTGAAATCTGCTTCCATTATCAGCACAATACTGTTCATTTTCATTCTTGAACTTCATTCAGCTTGAACAATGAAGCAGACTAGTTAGTTTCACTTACCTTTCTGGTGGTTGCTGTTAGCTTCACTTTTTGGGTCTCGTGTACAGGTAAAATGCTACAATGCTTGGGTTGCGAAGACTGCAGGGGAATGTTATATACAATGCTCCCAAACAGCCCCCATTCAATTTCACGGACTGAATTAAAAACCATGGCCACGTTTCTACTGATCTTCATTTTTTGTGTGGAAAAAAAAAAACTCCTAAATTTTGGGCCTAAATGGACCTGACATCCTTTAGCTAAATAAAGAAACAGAGAAATAACATGGTCCTTAGAGCAGCCTATTACAGTGACACTGTGGAAAGTGGCTTCATTAGGTAGCCCTTCAGCAGCACTTCACTGAAGAGAAGATGAAAATTCTTTGCTCCCCTTCTAACTCTGTCACACGGCAGCTATTTTTAACACAGGAAAAGGCCTCTCTTCTGCACCATTAGAGTCACATTGGCAGCACAAGCCTCCGCACACTGTATCACATCTGTTATAATAAACAGATGCTATATTTAATACCTTATATCTATATACACACACCTGTTAGCTAGAAGAATACCAATGTGCTTGCATATATAAAATTAGTCACCCACTACTGAAATGCAGCCATCTCTGGGTTGGAATCTGGCAGCCACACACCACTGAGTAACAGTTCTTCTTGTCTCCCCTTAAAGAGAGTAATATTTCCTTCAGTTGAAATGTTGGAGTTTTTTTGGACAGTTATTCACATTGGCATTTGGCAGAGAGCATGGGACCCACTCCAGAATGGCCAATATGGTGGGATACTCACTTGGGATGTGAGACACGTGGCTTTGGAGCAGGGACTTGAATCGAGGTCTCCAACATGCCAGGTGAGCATCTGAACCACTGGGCTATAGATTCTCTCTCTCTTTGTCCCAATAAATATTTAGTTATTTATACAAAGCGGAGCAGCTCTAGCAGGAGTTATCTATAGACAGAAGGACTCTCTAGTGTGGTTGGGACACACGCCTGGTATGTAGGAGATCCAGGTGAGTGTCTGAACCACTGGGCTGTTGGCTATTCTGGGGATTCTCTCTCTCTCTCTCTCTCTTGTTTTTGTGTGGGAAATTTTGAAAGCTCTCAGTTTTGTCCGGATGTGGATGTGACGCAGTAGGGAGCGGGGTGGATTGACCTGGGAATGTCATTTAGTTTTACTGGGACTGTCTGCATGGGGGGATGGGAGAGCAGGGGATGACTTTAGGTGAGGGACCGTACCTGAACCTGTAACCTGAGTCAGGAAGAGGGGTGGGGCGAGTCAACACCTTTGCCCGGGAAACTGGACAAAGGGAGAGGAGGAGAGAAGGAGGGGGAGAGAGCCTGCTGGAGGGGTTTTTGGTTTCAGTTTTGGGCTAGCTGGGAAGAGGCAGGGAACCCCAAGTCTGGGGTCTAAGATCCTTGCCCCACAGAGGGACCTGGCTGAGGGGCCCTGGTTGTACCTACAAGCCCTGCTTGGGACTGTGTTCCTGTCGTCTAATAAACCTTCTGTTTTACTGGCTGGCTGAGAGTCACGGTGAATCGCAGGAAGTGGGGGGTGCAGGACCCTGACTCCCCCACACTCCGTGACAGTGGAACAAAAACAAATTGTGAAACCTCAACGTTTTTCATGGAACGGAAGCTCAGCATCTTGTACGGCCTCTCATGGCTGTACCCCAAAATCAAGGGCTACTTTAGAAAATATTGGCCCGAGGGTGTGTCCACCCAGCAGCTGGGAGGTGCGATTCCCAGTGCAGGTGGACATAACATGCACCAGCTCTGCTTGAGATAGTACCTAAAAATTGCACTGCGGGGGCGGGGCTTGGCCTGAGGATGTACCCAGGAGATTGGGCAGGGTAGTACTTGGGCAGCTAGCCCGAGTGGCTCCCTGTGCCTCTGTAACCACACTACTGTTAGGTGCTCAATTGAGCAAAGCTGGCACGTGTATGCCTACCCGCCCCAGGAATCACACCTCCCAGAAGCTATGTAGACGTATCCTTAGTGTCTCTGTGCAAAATCCTGAGCCTCCTGAAATTAATGGGAGTTTAGCCATTGACTTCAATGGGGCCAGAATTTTGCCCTCTGCGTGTCTGTTTGACTCACTGTTACTGGTAGTCAACACAGATGGAAATTCCTCAGCTGCACTGGGTTTCATTTTCGGTAACAGCTCCCCATATACAATTGCTGCTGCCCGGATTGCCGTTTCCCACCCATGAACTCTCCTCCCTTTGATGCTTAGCTAAAATGATCTGTTCTAGTGAGTGTGGCTGGGCATTGAATAGCACTTCTGTGTCTTTTTGCATGGTAATTTCTTGTACGTTTCCTGGAGTTAGCTTAAGGCTTGCTCTTTGATTTTCGGTTTTGTAGTTTTTTTTTTCCCCCCACAGGGATACTGAAGTGGGGCACTGAACAAAACAAAACAAAACAAAACCCAACCCTAGTCACTGGGAAAATACATTTCCCACGAGAAAGGGTTTGAATATCCTGTTTTTAAAGCTTTTCTCGTGTCATGTTTGGAAGCGTTTCTATTTAGCTAGCATTTTGGTTTTTGTAAATAACCTACATTTTCCAGTTGTTCTTAGTGCCAGTATCTGAAGTTCCAATAACTGGAATATTGGTACGATAGGGAGGAGAGAGAATAAATAAGCATCAGATACATCCCTGCAGTTAGACCAGGGAAGAGTTTGGCTCTTTGGGCCAAATCCTCATTCCAATGAAGTTGATGGATGTGCTTTTAATTCCAAAGGGATCACAATTTGGTCCAATAACATCTTATGTCTCTCAGTAGGACTATGGTTATAGCATATGTTGCCAGAATCCCGTTGAGAGAGAATTTCTGGAACAACAGATCAGTTAAAGATCAGCACACACCAATGAACACAGATCAGTTTAACTACAATCCAGATTTCACAGTCAGATGCCAGCTGCAAGGCCTTTAACACTAAGCTGTGTCTACACTAGCACTTTTGTCGGTATAACTTATGTCACTCGGTGGTGTGAAAAAACACCCCCCCGAGTGACACAAGTGACACCGACAGAAGCGCTGGTGTGGACAGTGCTATGTCGGTGGGAGAGAGCTCTCCTCTCGGCACAGAGCAGCTACATGGGAGATCTTACAGCGGCATCGGGACAGCTGTGCCGCTGTAAGCTGTCTAGTGTAGACATGGCCTTAGCCCTCGTCTACACGACAAACTTATGTCGGTATAACTACGTTGGTCCAGCTTGTGGAAAATCTACACCCCTGAGCAACGCAGTTATATTGAGCGAACTCCCTTCTCTTGCTGACATAGCTACTGCCTCTCGGGGAAGTGGAGTACCTACACCAAGGGGAGAAGCTTTAGGAATTAGCATCAGCTTTAGGAATAGGTTGGATAGATGACCAACCAAAGCATTTCAGGGGAAACATCCGGGCTCCAAACACTAGGGGATGAATTCGCCTGCAGGAAGAGACCACCAGACCCCTGCGCTCCAGAAGCCCATTTATGGAGTACAGGCTGCAGAAGAAGCCAGCTAGCTAGAAGACTCCGTACTCCTGGACTCCTGACTGTGGGCTGCAGGAAAAGAACAGCTAGTCAGAAGACAAATGCCCTTCTCTAACATGGGTTGGGCATGAGACACGGAGAGGCTGGGAAGGAAAAGAAACAGCATACAATCCAGGACTAATTATGTCAGGTTAGATGGAGGTGTCTCCCTTGTTTCTCTAGCACCAAACCAAGCTGTTTCTGCCACATCCTCATGGTTTATTGGTCCATGGACCAAGAGGGCTGGAGGAGACACTCACACCTCCAGGTCGCTAGTTAAGCAGTAACAAGCCCTTAACACCTGCTCCCTATTGAAATTAATAGCAAAACTCCCACTGACTTCAGTGAGCCAGGATTTCTCCGCAGGCCGCCAGGATCTGAACGTCTAGCTGAAGTTACCATGACTTTCACAGGTAAATCTTACCAAATTCCCGTTGCTCTGCAAGGACGCTCCACCAGCGAAGGTTCCCGGCATCAGAGCTCACAAGGATTGCACTGTCTTTTGAAACACCATCCAGGGATCGATGCTGGAGAAAGAGTAGTTTATCCACTGGAGGATGTGACCTAAAATTCAGTGAAGAAGATGTTCAGACCATCCCTAACCCTTTATTTTCTTTAAAGTCCACCTGGCAGGTCAAAACACCCAACTTTTTTTTAAAGTCTGGTTATTCCCATTGGAAAGGAGGGGAAAGGCCTGGAACTATAAATAAGGTTGCATTTGGGAATACTAAGCTTTTCCTGTGGTTGCTTTCTTCACACAGACATAAACTAACCTCCCCCCATATTTAATTGTTTTTATTTAACTATTCATGCCAATTTCTATAGGAGAACCCCCAACTAAATAACTGTCTGTACGTATTGGCTGCCAAACATCCAACAAAGCTCTGCATTGTCTTCAAAGCTTGAGCTACAGGCATCAGAGTGCTGAGAGCAAGAAGTCAAAAGTTGATCTGAACCAACCAACAGGTCCTGAACCTGCAAAGGGCGGCATGTGGATGAACTGCTGTGCCCGTGAAGAGCCTGACTGAAGTCAGCGAGACTCTGTACCATCTCAGGGGCCTGCCCACCTGGAGCTCATGGCAGGACTGAGGCCTAGCTGGTATATATTTCAAAGACGTTTGCCATTTTTTGTTCAGTGGCAAATGTCTCCACAGCTGGGGGCTCGTGGTGGGGCGTTTCGTCTCACGGGGCTGATATTCCTAAACCCGGGGGAAGAATTGCATTTGGCTCCTGTTCAAAACCTTTGCAAAGGGTGTAATTCTCCTCGGTGCCCCTATCAGCCCAGTAATAGTTCATTATCCCACACCACTGGAAACACCGGGCCATTGAAGCAGATACATGTCTCCCCACCGACGTCAGGGAGCTTTGGCCCTGGCCCGTCGGCAGACTTTTACACTGAGCCAGGGCAGGAATGGAAGATGAAGTCCCACTGCTGTAACTGCGTGGAGAGGCAGGCCCTGTGTGTTTATTAAGGGTCAGATTCCGCATTCCCTGTTGAGGCTGGGTCCTGCTGATCTCAGCACAGGGCCGGTCTATATTTGGAGCAAATTGCAACACCCGCCCCCTCTGGCTCAGCTGCTACATTGAGGCTGGAATTAGGGCTTCAGCCATTCCCCACCCCTTCTCAAACAGGTGCTGCTCAGGGGGCAGGAAGTGGGTGCACGAGGTCTGGGTCTAGCCAATGGAGGGGTAGAAAGGAGGTTGTTACTCCCGTGGATGCGCGGTGCCTTTTAACCCTATACAGTGTTGACCAACCCCATAAAGACTGGCTTAAATTTAATGGACCCAATCCGGCAAACCATCTACTCTCAAAATTCTTGTCAACATCCATGTCACGCAGCATTGGGCCCCATTTCCCCTCAGTGGGGCAGATCCTCTGATGGTGTGAACGGTCACAGCTCCATTGCCGTCAGCGGTGCTAAGACACTCTAAACCTGCTGAGCAGCTGCTCCAAGGGATTTAAACATGCCAGCGGCCCGTGTGCGTTCACCATTCAAGCCTGCAGGCCCCATGCAGTTATGCTAATGCTCATCACAGCTATAGCCACCTGTCCTCTTCAAAGCACCTTGCAAACATTAATAGTGCTTAGGACGGTGCTTACATTTTGTGAGACACCTTCACAGTTTGCCCAGCATGCTGAGATGATCTCAAATAGAGAGAGCAATGCAGATTCTTTAGTGTCAAGCGCCTGGTTTTTAAATTTATTAATAAATAAATAAATAATAATAACACCACCACCACCACCGCCCAAACCCAGCAGCTTAATCATGATAAGATAATCAAGCAGCATGTTGCAGGGAAATGAGACACCAATATTTTACGCAGCAAGGCTCTAATAAAAATGCCTTCTCCTTTTCATGCTGTTTGTTAGAAGGAAAAAAAAAGGTGTAACTTGGAAACGAAGCAACTCTGTAACGCCTGAGCGAAGCACATTACTTCCCCCGGCCCACAGTTTAATGAATAACTCACCATAAGTCATTACAAGAAAATTGTACCTTTCGGGCTGAGCCTGTCTGAGGTAGAGATACACACTCTGGGATTCCACATCCCACATGATAATTTCTCCATCGAAGCTGGCTGAAGCAAGGAGCCCAAGAGAAGGACAATAGTCCACAGTCAGGATGTCCTCTTTGTGCAGCTGCCCGCCCTTCCAAGAAGGATGCGCAGTAACATACAGGGCCTACAAACAGCGGAGAACAGAATAAAGCTCAGGTTTTACTAATTTGATTAATAAGACGTACAGGGGCAAATTCAGTGTTGATGTAAGCAGATGTGGTTTCCTCTGACTTCAATGAGGTTTTTACCCACTTACTCTAATGTCACTTCTATGGGTGTAACAGAAGGAACCGTCTTGTTCGTTTAAACATCATCAACAACAGGTACCTTGCTTTTTAACAGGTGGCTATTCCCATTCCATTCCTCCTTCTTTACGCACCTCAGGTTCACAGAAATCATAAAGGACGATTTTCTGATTCCATCCCACTGTGAGCAATGATTGATCCCGCAAAGCTACAAGTCCCGTGACTTCAGCTTCTTCCACTACCTCCAGTTGGTGCAAGTTGTGGCCAGTCTGAATATGCCAGACCTGCTCAAAAGAAAATATATTTACTTTTATCCACCCACAATGTTAGCCTTATCTTGTCCGGCCCCTCAGCTATGGTGCCTGGTGTCAGAAGGGGAAGGAAAGGCACAAAAAGATGATAAATGAAGTCTCTGTCTCAAAGAGCAGACTAAAGATGAGCTGAACCAAAACGTTCTGATCACAACTGAAAACTTCAGAGAAGTTCCTATCCAATTCCAGAGCAGAATATTGCAGCTTGGGCTATATGCCAATTGTCACACCATGTAGAGTCATCGGAGCTTTGCAATGATTGTTATAAAGGCTTTTAATATACACAGTACAAGCAACATGGTACTTTATGTCTATCCATATCTAAAGCCACTGTAGTGAACTGACAGTGTCTGACTGAAAATCCCACTCTGTTAGCAAATGGTGAGCTCGTTAAGTGTGTTCTGCTGACTCACCGGGGCAGATGACTTGAGGGAGGTGGGAATGTCACTCTAGAGAGAGGACCTCAGCTGTGAGCTGAGCAGACTTAGGGGAGGAACCCTGTGAACAGCCAAAGCTCAGAGATTTTGTGCTGAGTTGTTTTTGTGAATACAGCCAGACACCAGAAAAGGGGCTACATTTTGACCTGCTACAGCTTGTGCGGGCTGTACTTCAGGCAAGGTGGGGGAATCACCCGCTCCCAGCTCTGTATTCTGGAAATGAAGGAAGCGTCAAAGGAATTTTGTCGGAAGAGCAGCTCTATTCTGTTTCAGTGAACAAACCTTTATGGTCCCATTCCTTGCTGCCGTAATGAGCCTGTGCTGGGAGTTGTCAAGGGCCATGCAGGTAATCTCTTCCTTCCCATGGGCATTGTTTATGAGGAGGCGTTTGGCCCCCGTCTCCACATCCCACACAGCAACAGTGGCGTCATCACCTCCTGTCACCACCTGTCAGCAGAGAAAGCATGGTTTGAAATGTTCTGGTTTTGAGTTGATTTACCTTTTGCTAAGAAGGAAAGCCCCGAGGAGCAGTAGGGAGCAGTGTCTCCATTTGGAGCAGGACTGCACCTTCCCTGGATGGTGCATCAGTCCACCAGTTTGTGCAGAAAAGCCAATTTCCCCACTTCAACCCATCTATAACATAGGCAGTGGCTGGTTCAAGGCAGCTATAGACTGATCCATGTATATCCATTGAACTGAATCTATGAAATCACCATGGATAAACATTTGTGAGGTCAACAGGGGCCGATGTAGGATTGTTCTCTGAAATTTATCCTCTCCAGTGCTATGTCCAGTCTCATTTGAAATGACTTCATGCTGAAGGATGTTGAGAAATGTGAAGAGGGTTCAGAGAAGAGCCATGAGAATGATTGAAGGATTGGAAAACATGCCTTAGTGAAAGAGTTAAGGAGCTTAGTCTGTTTAGCTTATCAAAGAAGAAGTTAAAGGGTGACTTGTTCACAGTCTATAAATATGCACATGGGGAGCAGGGAGACAAGGTGATGTCTTTTATTAGATCAAGTTCTGTTGGTGAAAGAGACCCACTTTGGAGCTAGACAGAGACCTTCTTCAGGTCAGGGCTCTGGGTAGCTCGAAAGCGTGTCTCTTTCACCAACAGAAGCTGGGCTAATAAAAATATTACCTCACTCACCTTGTCTCTAATATCTTTGGATGGACAGGGCTACAACAACACCGCAAACTGCATGAAAGACATTTGATGATAGAGGGTTTTTTAGTCTAGCTGACAAAGGTGTAACAAGAGTCAAGGTCTGGAAGTTGAAGCTAGGCAAATTCAGAGTAGAAATACGGTGCAATTTTTAAACAGTGAGGATAATTAATCACTGAAACAGCTCCCCAGGGGTGTGGTGCATTCTCCATCATTGGACATTTTTAAATGAAGATTGGATATTATTCTTAAAGATCTGCTGTAGTCCAACTACAACTATTGGACTTGAAGCAGGAATTAATACAGTGAAGTCCAAGGGCCTGTGTTGACTAGACGCTTACACAATCACATGGTGCCTTTTGGCCTTAAAATCTATGAATCTATGAAAAAAAAGAAGACGCATCCATCACATCCCTTGGAAGACTACTCCATAGTCTTTATAGATCTTAATGTCAATTCTCCTTTGCTCATTTCCGTTTGATTTTGTCCTGTTATACTGCTATGGAGCATCCTAAACAATTCTCCTTGCTTGGTGTTTATGTCCTGGACCTAGGCATTCTATAGGACATACAAGACCTATTATTGAAGAACAACAATCAGTAATGAGGAGGTGAAACATGGGACAATGCCGAGTGTGAAAGAGGTGAGCATTCCAAAAATACGCAGAAAAGACTCGTGTTGGCCGGTTCCATACTGCTGTGATTTAGAAAGATTTCCAAGGGCAGGCATGTGTCAGGCTGCTAGTGAGCTCTCATTTGGCACTAGCACTGCTTGGAATGGGTGTGAAATTTGGAGACCAAAGGGAGCAGAGGACAGAGCTGAAGAGGGGCAGCTTTGGGGCTGGAGAATATTAAGAAGCGAATCTTGACAAATTGAAAGAAGTCAGGCTGACCGGCAAAACAAGAGGAAGAAGATGCAAGGGATTGTGGCAGAGGATGGGTATGGAGGGGAATTTATAGAACAAGGCAGCTGGGCGCCACACAACTAGCTGTGTGGTGCAATGGCTGACAATTAAACACATACAGTGATAGCAATTTGTTCCTAGCCTCATGCATGAGAGTAAAGATGTCAAAGCTGCAAACCTCAATGCTGAGCTCAGCTTGGGAGGTGCTGGAGATGTCACCGAAGTCATGCTTTCTGGAGCCAATCGGATTTCTCTTTGAAACTTTTGATTAAGGCAAAGCTACAAAAAGTGGTTATTGTACTACACGATACATTAGTTAGTACTTACTGAGGACCGGTTTAATAGTCAAAGACCCTGGCTAAAAAGAGTTGAATGTACTTGGTTTCCCCGTCCTTTCCTGCATTTCCTGGCAGCTGCTCTCCTCCCCGCCAAGCTCCCAAAATATGACACGGAAACAGATGCTGGAGCCAGACAGGACACAACCCAAGCCAAACCACAACATGAACTCAGGGTTCCGTGACGGTGGAGGAGATTTAAAAGGCTCCTGGACTTGTTTTCTGGGTGGGTTAACGGCTGGAGTTTGTTGTTCTAACCTTGTCCTCCCTGTTTATTGCAGAAGGAATGCATCTCTGAAACAAAGGAACTCTTTTCTTGTGGCTTCCGACAGCGATTCAGCCGCACACGTTCCAGGGCACACAACCCTCGACTGTGCTTTTCCAGTTGGTTTGGGATGCAGTCAAAACAAGTGAGTGATGAATGTGCACAAGCTGCCCTGGGTGAAGAGCTCTGCTTTGCCTTATTTGCACTTAGTGATTAACACCGAGGGCTGGACGGAAGGAAGACAAGTGCATAAGCCCATCACCTGCCTGCTCCGGGTCGAGGAAACAGACAAAGAAACCAACGAATGGTGCACAGTTTGCTTCTCCGGCAATAAAATAGAGAGATTTTATTATAGAACAAGAGCAAGCCCAAGTTCTTGCTTTTTCCTTCCATAGCAACTCACTGGAGAAATTGCTAGAGCTGGGGGAGCTTCGTATTGCTCTTCTGCTGGTCTCAGTAAGGAGGAGAAGAATGTGACTCCCTCACTGTGCTATCATTTTAATTCGAGACCTTATAGCACATCTCAATCAAGCTCCGAAGAGTCTGGTCATCACAAATACACCTCTCCAGAGGGTAATGGGGTGGCGGAGGAATCCCTGTCTGGTGCAGGGACTGGATGTGTTGACCTATATTAAAGCGCCTTCCACACCTAATTCCTCAATTGTCTCTGTAAAGCACAGCCCTGCCTTATGGGCATTTCAGAGCGGCACCGTTCCAGCGGGAGCAGCCGGTGCACTGGATCTGCTCTGGTGCCTGGTCCCCAGCTCTTCCCACTTTGGGGCAGTCCCAGCTCGCCACTAAGCCCTGACGTAAAAGTCCTATAGAATTTCTTAGGCATTTAATCTATGCCTAAGTTTTCTAGGAGCCAATTGAGGCTGAGACCCAGTCACTGCACTGGGAGCTTTGCCTGAGTGAAAACCAAATAAGGATTTCAGCCTTCAGCGAGCACTTTAAAATCCTGGGATCAGCATGTAGCCTGAGAGGGTGGAGATCTGTGTGGGGATTAATGGAAAGGAATCCTCCCATTAGGCTGGGGAGCAACCAGAGCTGCTTGTGTAATGCTGACAGACCCCGGTTGTTGGCAGGCAGGATCAAACCGGGGACCTCTGGAGCGTAGTGCATGAGCCTCTACAGTGTGAGCTAAAAGCCAACTGGCTGGTAGCTAAGGCTGGAGAGCAGACTCATTTTATCTCTCTCTCTAAGTAGTCTCAGTGCCACTAGATGGGACAGAACACCACACCCAGGAGGTTGTAGGAACAGGGCTCCTCAGCTGCTGTTGTAGGAACAGGGCTGCCCGCACCACTCTGGCCAGTGCATTTGAAAGATGGGAAGCTGGGTTCTTTTCTGGCTCGCACACTGTAACTGCAGATCTGTAGTCGTTGGCGATGATGCTTGAGGCAACGGATCAAATTTGCAAAAGTGCTTGTGTACTTTCCCCCCGCATCCTTTTTGCGCTTGCAGACTCTTAACTGACACCCAGGAACCTGTATGCATGTGCAGCGCACACATGCACACACGCACACACACACTTCTACGGATGCGCAAATCAGAGTTTGTGTGCTTGCATTAGGATTTGTGCAGCCCAGGTAGAAAGCGTGAAAAGGTGCATGAGCACATCTAAAAATGTGTCCCAACTGGATTTTCAAATGGCCGGTGAAGCATGTGCCTCTGGTAAGTGGGAAAGCCAGCTTTCTACTTGTAATTTCATAAACTGGACTGGGAAAGTCACATGGAGAGAAGAAATACAGAGGTCCATAATGATGTTTTTACAATCACTTTCCTGGAACTGCTTTCTCTTGCAAATCTAGCATAGAAACTAGAGATGGGTTTGAACCAAACTCCCAGATCCAAACACCCCCAAAACTATTCAAAATCTATATCTGATTTTCTCAGTTGCCCCCATATCTACAGTGGGCCAAACGAGTATCTTATATGCAAACACACAAAGGGGTTTAAATTCTGCATTCATATCCAAATGTTGTGGTTTAAGTCCAACCTGACCGGAAAGCGCTGATCAATAAAGTTATCAGAAGTGCTGACCTGGTGGAAGAAGGTGTTGTACAGAGCACCGCATAATGGTGCATCATGGGTAGCCAGCATTTCTTCCTCAGGACTGACATGCGCGAGCTTCAACAATCCAATGTAATCAGCACAGGAGATTAAGAGGAGGTGGGGAGACTGCTGGATGAGCAAGAAGGGAAAATTCCCCTGTTCTAGTGTTTGTTCTGGCTGGACACATGGGAACTGGAGTGCCAGGGTCTGCAGACAAGCCTGTGAGAAAATATCCCAGACTTTCAGGACCTGAGAAAGGGAGAGAGAGAAGACGGGATTTATTTACGTGTTTGCTAGAGGTGGCTACTAGTGGCTCTGCATACTCCCGAATTTTGTGGCTCAGGAAAATCTTTTCTATTTTCCATGGAGCGATGTGCTCGTACTTTGTGATGTTTTAGCTCATCACCTTATGTATTTCCTTTCACACTCCATCTTCCGGCAGAGTTAAGGGCATTGCTGAAGCAAGGCCAGTTACAATATATTGCACAAACATTGAGACTTTCATCTGAGTTTTCAAAGTGCTTCATAATCATTAGTAGAGCAGGGCGAGTAATGGTTTTTGGTTTGTTGGCAATTTCAAAAGTAAAAAAAAATTGTTCCAGGTCGAACTGAAAAGTAAAAGTTTTGCAATTTTCAACAAATCAAAATGTAAAAAAAAAGAAAAGAAAAAGATTTTGGGTCAAACAAAACTTTTTGACATTTTGTTTGTCTTATGACCATTTAAAAATGTTTGGGGATTTTTTAAAAACAAAATGAAAGAGCATTTTGAAACACAAAGGTATTTCAAACCCAAAACATTCCAACGTTTCATTTTGAAAATGTCAAAGTGAAGCATTTTAATTTTTTTCTGATTTTTTTTTCAAAACAAAACAATTCCATGAAACCAGCACCACGTCACAAAATGTTTCAGAGTCACAGAATTTGCATTTAAAAAAAAGATTTGGCCGAAAAATGCTGGATTAATGCTTTTATCCAAATGATAAAACATAGTAGTCAAGGAAAGCCAATCAATGGTGGGTAAATAGTATAAT